TGCTTATCACAGGATTTTTTCCTTCCTATTGCGTTAAATAAGTTGATGCTGTCCTGAAAATGCGTATTATCATGTTTTCCCATGTTGTTTTCTATTGCTGATCAGAGGAGGGGTTTTTTTTTAAGGGTATTATGTCCCACTAAGGAGAAAAGCAGAAGTACTATATAGTTAAGAGCTTATAACTCACTCACTTTCGCCTGACAGCATATACTTATGAAGGAAGGAAGGAGAGGTGAGGGAGGAAGGGAGAGAGAAAGTGTCTGCTCTGACCTTCAGTGCAAGGCTCAGAAGTTCCCCTGTGTTTTGGTGGGGTGTTGAATGTCAGTGAATATAACGCTGGGTATCACAGGGGAAGTCCAAGCTAGAAAAGTTTCCGCATATTTTAAGTCTCATGGTAGGTCAAGTTGACCTGAAGTGACCTTAGTCCAACCCCCTTTTATTATTATTATTATTAATATTATTGAGATATAATTGACCTGTCACATTGTATTACTTTCAGGTGTATGCTGTAATGATTTGATACATGTCTATATTGCAAAGTGAGTGCCACAATAAGTTTAGTTAAAATCCATCACCTTACATCATTACAATTTTTTTTTCCTTGGGATGAGAACTTTTAAGATCTACTCTCTTAGCAACTTTCAAATCTGTAACACAGTATTGTCAACTATAGTCCCCCTGCTGGACATCACATCCCCAGAACTTATTTATTTTGTAACCGGAAGTTTGTATCCTTTGACCACCCTCCCCCATTTCACACCCCACCCCCACCCAATTCCAGTTCACCTTTGAAATATCGGCCAACTAGATGGTTCCATCCTATGACAAATAAACAACAGTGGGCTGGGTTTGGCATGCAAACCACTGCTTAGGTTAGAGAATGTGTGTAAACGTGTTTAAAATCTGAGCATTAACTAGGTCTGTAATTGTATTTAAATGGGGGGAGGGAGAGATAGACAATTTTTGTTCTTTATTACCTCCCAGTGCTGGCCAGTAGCTTTTCCAGATACACTTGCAGCCTTCCTTACACTTATCCCACTTTCCATTGTAGAGGATGCTTTATGTGCAGGGTCTGGTTGGATCCCTGACAACTCTCTGGGGCAAGTGTAAGGCACCTCATTTTGCAAATGAGGAAACTGAGGCTTGGAGAGGGGACTGGCTCGTCCCCATGGCCAGTGGAGGTGGAGCTATGTGTTCTAGTTCTTTGTCCTGTGTTCTTTGTACTACAGAACATCCATTATCTCTAAAGGAAATAAAATCAAAGAGTTGGTAAATTGAGGCAATCCTCCAGTTGCCTTACTTCGTCTCACCAACAGAAATCAATGCAACCAAATTTTTGCAAGTGCTGGGCCCCCGTTCTTAACCCCACGTGATCCATGAATGTCTAAGTGAAGAATCAAAATCATTATCCAGGCAATTCAACTGGGAAGAAAAGTTTTATCCAGAAAGAATGTCTGTTCCTAGTAACTAAATGCTTGGAACATACAGTGAGATATTTTTCAAAGCCTTCCCGTTTGAACGTTTTGTGTCGTAAGCAACAAAATTGTAGTTTGGCAATTCGACCAAAATAGCAGGACCAGTCGTTACTTGTCCTGGGTTTGGTTTGCAGACATGACTGGAATTAGCAAAACGTTTTAGTTTAGAAAAGAGAATCGCCAAATGTTAGAGGTGAAAGGAACCTTGGAGATGATGTAATCCAGATCACTAAGGGGGTTGACCAGTGTCACATAGATAATAGGAATTTCTGCCTCATTTGCCATATACAGACATAAGTCTGTTTGCTAAAGCTGAGAGGCCAGTTTTTGGAGGTGACGATTGAAAACCTAATTTGTGCACAGTTATAATAAACAAAGCAATACCTAAATGTCATAAGGGTTTGCTGTACTAAAGTAAATTTCCATGTTTAGAAGTTTATCCTGTAGCTTTGAGCAAAATTGCACGTTTGTTATATTTATTGTGTTAAAAAAAAGCTACAATAAGACAATAAACTTGCATTTGGTTTATTGTATCACACATCATTCTTCGTATATATTGAATAATCTGTCTAGAGGGTTATCTTTCTGGGAGAATGCCAAGCTTCACAAGACATTTAAAATAAGCCATTTCTTTACATTGAGAGCAAATGGGTTTTGACAGCTTGAATTTGAACGAGACAGAAAGTAACACACTTCAATACCTTATGGCTTCTTTAACATGAAAGTAGGGTCCCTAAGGACTTGAGTATTTGGTTTTTTTCTTTAGTAACTCTCTTCAAGAATGTACTCTGGGGCCGG